ATTTAGAAATGTTACTACGTTGGAACAAATTGGAACGTTACTCATTAGTAATGGAATGCTAATATAATATTTATTACTACAAACGTTATTACTACTAACCATTTATGCGAATTCAAAAACTAATTAAGTAATTTATTTCTAAATACAATTATTAACATCCAAGAAATAACAATGTTTATAAAAAATATAATCGTAAAAGCTTTCTAATTTCCATTGAAAATTTTCAAAGATTTCTAAAGGTTTATTATCGACGTGTATTTCGATTACGGTATTTCTTGGATGCCATACTTTAAAAACAACCATCAAATCCGGATTTATTCTTATTCATTCAACACTAATCGATTCGTTCGTAACATAACGTTTGAAATATGCATTCATGAATAGATCGTTCCTTGAATTTAAATACTGCAGTTTAATTGACCATTACTTAGACGTTTGTAATTTTCACAAGAATTTTCAGATCATATTTATGGGTACTCAACACCGCAACATTCTTAATTATCATCATAAAAATTATTTTACAAATTATTGAGAATAACACTTTTAAGATTTATGATTAAATTGATTTCACCTAATAACACTTTTTTATTGCCACACATAGAGAAGGGTAATAACAACTCAAACAATGCATTGTAATAATAGGTTTATGTGTTTAATGATCGTTTTATTAGGTGTTGGAAATCTTTGTCATATCAGAAAAGCTTATTGTACAGGGTGGTTCAAATTCGATGTCCGAATAGGCTATCTCGGAAACTATAAGAGTTAGAAAAAAAGTAGCTTACATGTCATGATCTCGTTTTTCGAGAAACTGCTAATGCCAAAAACCTCAAAGCGCTATCGTCTTTTGTTTTTACCCTAGAGGCCAAAATTGAAAATATCGTAAAACCAGCAAGCGCAATTATCTTGGTTATTATTATAGCTGGAGTATTATAACTAAGACATTATATGGACACTTTTTTACAGAGAATTCGATGACGTAGTCAAAAAAAATTTTTCGTTTTTAGATTTTGAGATATGATGACAATTTTCGTTTTTTTAAATGGAAACAACCACTGATTATTCGCTTATTAAATTCGTTATTTTTTTCTGATTACAAAAATATGGGGTTAGATAGATCTATTTCTTATCGTTTTAGAATAAAGCTAAAAATAAACTTTTTTTGGTGTCGTCAAAGAAATTAAATTTACAGTTTCCTGTAAATTATAACTAAAAATTATTCTACTAAAAATTGATATAAAATTTACTTTATTTTCTAATATGTAACATTTTAACATGTTAAACTTTTCGTAATTTTCGAAATTCATCTTAAAAAACACGATTTCTAGTTTGACATTTTAGTTGCTATGTTTATTTGAATTAAAAGAATATATATGAGCGCCCTCTATCAATAATTTTTTAAGTCATTTAATAATAATATTAAATATTAATAAAAAATGTGAAATAATGCAATCTATTCCAATTTTGGTGTAAAACAAATATAAATTAAATAGTTCAACAAATGAATTTGTTTCAAATATCAGAAATATGTTTTTTTAATTTTTAGTTATACTTTACAGGAAACTGTAAATTTAATTTCTTTGATGACACTAAAAAAAAGTTTATTTTTAGCTTTATTCTAAAACAATAAGAAATAGACCTATCAAACCCTATATTTTTGTTATCAGAAAAAAATAACGAATTTAATAAGCGAATAATCAGTGGTTGGTACAAGCTGTTTTAATGTTTTTATTTTATTCGGTGGAGGAGCTTGAAAAAGAAAAAATATGCGTTTGTAACACAAGAAGCAAGATTCTGTGAAGCAGCATACATGTAGTAATGAATACCAAAATTGTTCCAAAACGATGTAAAGAATTTTTTTCAAAACTGAATCTGAGGCAAAATTTTTCTGATCAATTTCTTAAATTTTCTTGCGTTAATATATTATTTTTAGTAGTGTTGCTAGTTTGCTTTGTATTATTGTGTTTCCAATTATTTTTTTCAATTCTTGCTTTTTGCCTACTTCAAACTTTCCACCTCAACAATGGATGGATTTTAGTTAAGTTGTTCTGACACATCAAAGATTTCTTGAAACTGATGATAAACTTTCCTGAGCAACCTCAACTTTCAGGCTTCTTTTCCGATGTTTTGTTGATACCAAAGAACCCCACGAATCAACCTTTTTTTTGTTATTATCTCATAAAAAGGTTGTGATATCATGTACTTAGGTTGCATCTTCTTATCAACTTTGCTAATACTTATAATTAGTTTATAAGCGCAAGTGTCATTAACTTAGCCGAGGTCGCTTGCAGCCGAGACACAAAGCACTTCGGCCGCAGGCCCTCTGCAATATATGTTGCTCAACATAGTATTAAAGAACTCCTTGGCATTATGAGTTTTGTCTTTCAAACATTTTCGAACAACTCTGGATTAGTTAAATCGATGAAAATTGATTTTGTGCTTATAACCTTCGTTTCGAGCTTGGGCACGCTTGCTTTTCCCAGGAATTGTGTAGTTTTGGAGTTTTGGTCTATAGCTTCCTCTTGTAACGGCTTTTCACAGACTTTTTCAGATACAGTTCCAAGATAGGCTTTACATATATGATAGCCACTGAGAGGTGCCGTAAGATTTAAGACTTTCATGAGAGTCAGTAAAATTACTTTTTGAAGAACCACTAAACTAATTTGTTGAGGAATTACCTTAGGATAAGATATTTTTACGCAGAGTTACCACACCATACCTCACAACTAAGAAACATTATTCTAAACCAACCCAACCCATAACAAATGTAATATATTTTTTAAATTGGAATAGAGCTTGTAATAACAAAGTAAATAGTGGTTTATAATAAAATAAGGAAGGTAGTGAGATTACAATTTAAGAAAAATAAGAACTAAATGATATTAAGCTTAACTGGAAAAGAACAACTTTGACAAAGCCTCTTATGGAGTGATGATCTCATTAAAATATTAAAAATCAAGTTAATACGATTTAAAGTAGCTATAAAAAATGTTTTCTTTTTAAATGAATTTTCTAACATACTTACACAACCTTGAGATATCTAAAGTAAATAGTAAACAAGATAACTAAAAACGTTATTCGCCGTATTTTAACAAATTAAATAATAATAAATGTTTTAAATCTAGAAAGAATTACAATAAAATTATTTATGAATGAATTGATCTTGTAAACAGACCCACTCAATAATAAAATCAGCAAAAAAACTTCACCTCCATTTCTTTCACGTTTATTTTTTGCTTGACTTTGACCCTTTTTTTCGTCTTGCTCGGTTCGAAATTATACCAGGGACGTGGGGATAATAGGAAAATAATTAAAACGCCGCATTCCGATGCGAATCCTTCTCGTGGTCCGAAGATCCTGTCAACCCTCGGCGGTTGGTTGTTTGGTCGATTTGGCCTGCTGCCATCGGATGGAGGTCTTTCCTCTACGCATATGGGCAGGAGGACGAAGGAGGATGAAAAATTAGCGTCCGTCCCGGGTATATAGTCATCCGGATCGGAATTTTCGGTGCACCTTTGCGCCGTGAGCAACCTTGTGTGACCTTGAACGGGATTCATCTCGGCAAGAATGCGTCCAGTTAAAGGCCTGCTGGCCGTGTTGCTCCTCTCGTTCGTTCTTCTCTTTGCTCCTCTCCGCTGCGCCGTGGTGCCACACCGCAAGGCTGCTGCTCCTGCTGCCGCAACCGATGCTACCTTTGCTTGGCGTGCTTATGAAAGGAGGAGGAGAAGGGGTTTTTTACAGGGTTGGATTTGGATAATAAATTATTCTTATACTTTTTTTTTTGATCTTAAATTTGTTAGTGAGTTGAAACAATCGTTTTAATAAAATTAGATTTTTAAATATAAGTTATAATTATTTTGTGAATTCTGATTGTTGAATATTAATTTTGTTGGTGAGGGAAAAGTGTTTTTTTAATTTGATTGTTAGTTTTTAACTAAATACGGTACTGTATATTGGGGATCTCCTCTCGTTCGAAGCGCTTCGTTGGATGGATATTTGTTGCTCGGAATGTACCCGCTTGGGCACATTCCCCAAGTATACAAATGATCTCCCCCCTGGTCCTGCGTCCGCCAGCTACCTGTCTTTAGCCGTCGAAGTGTATTGTTTTTTTTTTCTTTCATTTCCTCCGGCGGGCTCTCCTCCTCGTGCCTCCTCCCGTCGGGGCACACGATCCTCCAGCAGCGGCCGGCCGGCTGCCGTCCGTTCGGTTTTTGCCCGAAGGGCACCTGGGCCTTTTTCCATTTTCATTCCTCCATCGGTTTTGTTGCGCCTCGGTTTTTACCTTTTTCCCCCTCGGACCTTTTTTTCTCTCTTTCTCGACGTCGTCCATCGTCGTCCTTTTGCTCCCCGTTCTTTTTTTTTGCCCAACCATACTACGGCTGCCAGTCGCGCGTATACCGATGGCATTCGGACCTTCTTTTTGCTTCCAGCCTTACGTACGGTAACGAAATATGTGAGCTAACGTGTCACTTTTGCGTCTCGACTTTTTGCTTTCTACGTAACTTTTGGAGGTCAATCGTAATAAGGGGAGTTACACTTTAATACTTTTGAATTAATTGCTTACTTGCATAAAATCCGATTGTAATTTGATAAAATGGTAAAATTTACATAGTTTTTAAAATTATTAGATATTGTTTTCAAAATACTATATATTGTTATGAGAAAATTAGATACAGCACGCAGAAGACTAAATACTACTTGCAGAAGAGTAAATACTACTTGCAAAAGACTAGATACTGCTTGTACAAAAGTTGATACTACTTGCAGAAGACTAGATATTGTTTGCAGATGACTAGATACTACTTACAAAAGATGTTATTTTCAAAATACTAAATACTGTATAGAGAAAAGTAGATATAACAAACTAAAGGACAAAAATCTTAGGAGGTGGTTCTATAAATGTGATTGAAATATTCTTCTAGAACAAATTGCAAGCATTACTTAAGATTTGCTACTAAAAATAGTGTTAATCTCAATTATAGTTTATATATTTTATTTTTTAGATGGAGAATATCTTTTTGCTGAACCCGATAACAAGTTGTCAAAGTATGCGCCAAAGAGTTGGAAATCATCGCACAGTCATGGGCTGGATGCGAACGGAAGACCAGCGCTCGCGTTCTACTTCCGCGTCCAATTCTACGTGGACAGTCCCCTGCTCCTGCGGGACGAGACAACCCGCCACCATTACTACCTCCAGCTGCGCCTTAACGCCGCGTCCGGCGCTGCGGGGGATCACGTTACCCGCCTCGCAGGGCTTGCCCTTCAGGTCGACCTCGGCGACCGTACCGAGAATACCATTTTTCGGCCGGAGGACTATGTCCCACCTGGACTTCGGGAACCGGCTGCACTTCGAGCCATCGAGAACGCCCACAGAAACTATAGGAATTTATCCAAAAATGAAGCTAAAAATAGGTAAAAAAAGACATTCAACATTCAACATGATTTAAAATATTTCTTATCCTTTTAGATTTATAGCGGAAGTTTGTCAATTACAAGATCCCGTAAACGCTCATGTCTTTAGACTACGAGCATCGAAAGCCGAGGTGGCCCCCGGATCTATAATGTTAGCAGTGTGCGCAAAGGGTCTTCGCGTGTGCCCTGATAATAACCCACCGTCGACGTTCCTATGGAGTTCCATTGCAAAATTAAGCTTCGAAAGGAAAAAGTTTGAGATCCGTACCAACCACGAAAAGCTAACCCTTTACACGACGTCGGATGAAAAGTCGCGACTGTTGCTCGCTTTATGCAAAGCGGCCCACCAATTCAGTATGGCCGTCGCTCCACGGTTGAGTGAGGCGAAGAAGGAAGAGGAAGAACGGCAGCGCTGGGATTGCGACCAAAGAGTCTCCGTCATCTCCAGCACCTCGTCAAACACGACTTCGGGTATCGTTAGCGATCGTGTTCACTCCGAGGACGAGCTCGAGATCATGATCACCAGCCCCCCGGCGCCTTCTACCGAGAGTTTAGCTCTTGCTCATCTTCTTGAAAGCGCCCCCGCCAGCAGTCGAACATCAGCGGCATCCGCAACTGCCGCGCTGGCTTCTATTTCTTTAAAAGACGAGGAATCGGAGAGTAGCAAACAGGATAATAGCGAAAGTTCTACGAAGACGACCACTAGCATTAAATGCGCTGGTTCGCAATGCAGCTCGTCTTCTGGAACTGTCGTTGTTTCTCCATTACAAACAAGTAAGATTATTTATTTATAAATAAATTTTTTTTATTGATTATTTTGTGTTTAGAACCAAAACGGAGACATTCAACCAGTAGCAGCCTTGAATTGGGCTATTCCCATACAGCCCAAAACTCAGCAGTGAGCGACGCAACGTGCACCGAGCTGGATGACATCCGCGAGCCTGATTACACAGCCGGCCCGGCCCCCAGCAGCCACACTAGCGGCGTGTACACTTTGACATCAAGCGAGCAGTATACCACGTCTTTAAACGAACAATACGCGATTCCTAGCGAATTTTCACCTGATCAAGTTGACGGTCCTTTTCGAGATCGTCTCAATTCGAACGTTAGCAATTCCGGTTCTTTTCACGGCGACGGTAGCGATCCCACCGATAATAAACAGTCTCTTCTAACAGCCGAAGAATTATCCGATTTAATTGTAGGAAGGTATCCACTTTGTAAAAGCGTAAGCAACACTTTAGATTCTGATTCAGATTATGTTACGCTTCCATCTACTTATTTGGGTTACGCACCTATACCGCCGAAACGAATTGATAGTGTCGAATCGAGAGGGGTTCGACCACCACCTCCACCGTACAGTGCAACATCAAGTCATGATTTTGGTATGAAAGATCCACCACCGTATCCGGAAAATATTACGACAGTACCGACACCGGTATATCCGTCGGAAGAAGCAGCGGCGAGGTTTATAACAACAAGACCGCCAAGTATATTAACAGCTCACACTTGTGTCGTGAGTTCTACACCAAGCTACTCAAGTCCGAATCAGTCCCAGGTGCCGCCAATTCCTCCAAAACTCCCACGGAATCACGGAAGTAATTATTTGGACGTAAACACAACAAAATCTAGTAGTTTGATTTTTCCTTATAGTTTCTTACCACCGCCTCCTCAAACTCCGAGACAACCTCCTCCTCCACCTCCGATGGCAACCGTTTACACCAGCCAGTTATCGCAATCACAAATCGAACAATACCAACAACAGATGTATAGTGACGTAGATTTCGTAGTTTTTCCTTTAAAAGAACCGGCGATCAGTCGACAAGAATACCTCGAAGCGAAGCAAGGTTCTTTATTAGCTGCTTTAGCACACACCCCCCCACTTTTATACAGATCAACCCCTTATCTTCCAAAATACGCATCATCTCAAAACCTTTCCGACACATACGTACAGCTTCCCGTTTATGGAGCACCCAGCATTTCTTCAAATGGAAGTTTTGAACCTCCACCACCCAGACCACCTAGTAGATTCACCAGAACACGATCCGACGATAACATTTTAAATTCATTAGAAACACCTCAACCCCCAAAATTTAGAAGACAACCTCCCCCTCCACCGCCTCCTCCATTACCCGAAAAACGTCCCGATTTACTCGTTAAATTAAAAGATGGCACTGATTCCAAGGAAGCTATGGACATTCACACGTTACGCGAGAAAAGCAAAAAAATGGATTTGCCGCTTATTTCGGCTTTATGCAACGACAGGTCGTTGATTAAACAAACGAAAGCTTTTGTAATGCCGAAACATCATACGGAATTAACCCCGAGGATGCCGTCAAGTTCAACGAAGGCCAAGTATCCAGTTTCCGGTTTGAGCAGTACGAGAATTAATAAGCCGACCAGAAAAGCTCCATCAGTTAGTCATCGACATCCAGGGGATAAACTACCTGAATTACCGAGGGAAAAAGTAAACATTCCCAGAGCCACACCGAATAATTACGTATTAACCGATCCGAGGTTAAAACACAAAATGCATTCCCAATCGTAAAAAAAATATGATAAAAAAGGTATTAATGAAGATTACATTATAAGAGAAATTTTTATTACATTCCAATGATAGAACTTTTTCCTTTTAATATGTTTAATTTGTTGGAAATAATCCACTTTTACATTTTTCAATCTTTTATTGCGTTTATTTCTTACGATTTTCTGTTTGATGATGAACAATTTGATGTTATTGTAAAGGGTAAATTAATAGCTGTATTAATTTAAGAAATAAAGAAGTAAAATTTGTAAAAGTGATCCAACTACGACGTTGACTCAGGGTGCCATCTATGCAATATTATTTTTTTACTTAAAAATTTTAGATGTTTAGGCTTCTTTCTCCCTTTTTTTTATTTTACTTAAATAAATAGACATTCGAGCAATCGAAAAATAATAATTTTTTCGGTTCTGAAAAAAGAATCGATGATGAAAGCAATTTTTCGATTGCTCGACTTCAATTTCTGTTCTACCCCTTAAGTACATGTACATAGCGTTTTTGATAAGAAGTATTTTTACCAGTACGTTAAACTACATCTTATCATTAAATTGTATACACTTGCTCAACTGTTTTTTTTAGAACATAACAATATGTTTTATTTATTTTTTTGATACTGTCAGATGATTAAAATCGTATAGGAACGCTTCAAACAAGTGTATGGTGCTGCCACAGTCAAAATAAAGCATAAGTACAACAAAAAGACGAGTTATTTTATTTTTCTTTTAAAAGTTTAATATTTGTTTCAGCTTCTTCTAAATGCTCTTCGCAATTTTTTGCACTTATTAAATGGGTTTTTGCCAAATTCATTTTTCCTAGTTTATAATTTAATACAGCTAAATTATTGAATGCTGTACCATGATTTGGATTACATGATAAACATAAATTTAAACAATATATAGCTAGTTGTAGATCACCAGCAAACTAAAACACAAAAAAATTAAATAGATTGAGTGTTTTTTTACTATTCACTAATTGTAAGAGTAAAAATGAGCGTTTTGGGCAATGTTTAATTTAAGAACCAAACAGAAATGATTTATGAATGTTGACTATGATGTTGGATATTGGATTAGCTATCATTAATTTGTTACAGCAACGCGAAATAATTGTGCTGACGATTTATCTCTCTGCTAATCAGTAGTTAAAGATGCTCCAGCAGAGATAATTCAAAGATTACTAGACAGTACAGGTTAATGACACATCTCTCTGCAAGGTCCAGTTCATTCTACGCACTTGAGCTGTTAATTGTGTCTCCTCAGATGTCTATGTTTTTTAATTGGCAAACATTAATTATCCCTGTTGCATCACAATCCACCCACAAATATGTCTGTAATTGTAGAGCGATGATAAGGACGCAAAACGTTAATTCCACGTACCTTAGGTAACTCAGGTCTTCCATAACGCATAATACAGAAAATGCTGCAGTTTGGAAAAATATGAAAAGTATTTCCGGTAACAAATCTTATAATGTTATTATTAACTGATATACAACACAACCTAATGTTGTGTACTTTGGGTTGCCTAACTCGGGGGTGCATGTATTAGGATATCATCAAGGTCCGTTGAGTAAACATACTGTATAAGGTTATCCAACTCTTTTTATATCAAGCGAAATATTAATGAATGCCAGATAATCGTAAAGAATTCGAATTGTTTTAAAATTAATAAAAATTAGACTAGAGTTGATAAAAAAATCGGTATAAAATTTTATTATTTTAAGGTTATCCAACTTGACTCGGTTACCATGGTGATTAAGATCATCAAATGTTGTAGTTCCTTGTCAAAATTGACGTTGAATTTAAGTTTTTTTAATGAAAAACACATAATTAATTGGATTTAAAGGTTGTATTTAATTCAAATTGGGTAAATGGATGAAATTATAAGCAAGGTAAGTGGATTAAATCAAAAAAAATTTTTTTTAGATCAATTAAAATGTACAGGGTGGTTCAAATTCGATGTCCGAATAGGCTAACTCGAAAACTATAAGAGTTAGAAGAAAAGTAGCTTACATGTCATGATCTCGTTTTTCGAGAAACTGCTAATGCCGAAAACCTCATACCGCTATCGTCTTTTGTTTTTCCGCTAGAGGCCAAAATTGAAAATATCGTAAAACCCGCAAATGTAATTATCTTGGTTATTATTATAGGTGGAGTATTATAACTAAGACATTATATGGACACTTTTTTACAGAGAATTTGATGACGTAGTCAAAAAAATTTTGTCGGTTTTAGATTTTGAGATATTATCACAATTTTCGTTTTTTTAAATGGAAACAACCACTG